ATCTAGGGAAACTTAGCTTTGCAACAACAAAGATAACGCATTCCTTTATTATTGCCAATTAAATCATGCTTAATTCTTTCTGGAATTTTTTCGAGGAAAAAGGCGTTTGAGATTTACTTCGTAATTTTTAATATAGATATTTTGAGTTTTTATGTATTTTTGCCTTCTCGCGAAGTGAGAACTGAATTAATTAAATGAGAAATACTCAATCGTCTGTGAAAAACTGTTTCTGTTTTGTTTTGTTTGTTTAATTTCTTTTATGCATAGTTCTAGCTTTATTATAGTATTTGAATAGAACATGTGGCAACAATTAGATAATTCTTTAATGATATACATGTTGTGCATTCTGAGTTATAATATGAATGAAATATAATACTGTTAAGTAAACCTAGCACCAGAGTGTCGCTATGGTAAATAAAGTGAATTTTAAAGAATGCATTTATTCTATTGTGGTTTATGCGCTGTCGGCGAAGTAGGTTTAATTCAATCTAACAAGTTTGAATAAAATGCAAGAAAAAATGCGTATAATTTAATATTCCGTACAAGGAAGTCATGTGGTGTACACATCACATTTTTTAAAGAAGAAGTAAATGCTTCTGGAGTTAAAATAAAAGGCTCTATTGAAAGTTATAAAATACCCAAACTGAGTGGAGCTACACATTGGATATCAAAATTAAAGGATAATTACAGAAATAAAATGTAACTTAATGAAAGTTTGGCAGTTGATTATTCACAAAATATTGAAATTAAAACCAAATTTGTGGAAATTGGAAAAATTAAGTCGCCTCTTGTGGGGGGAAAAAAAAATTCTTTAGTATGGTGTATGGGTTACCTTGGGCAAATATGCATACCTCACATCTTGATTTCATAGACTTTACCAAAGTGCTGATGAAGTCTGCTGGAATTGCATGTCACTCTTTTAAAAGTGCACTTTTCAGCTCCTGGAGGGTCTGCGGAGAAATTTGGCATGCTGAAATTTGGTACCCTAAGGCATCCCACACATGGTCAATTGTGTTAAAATCAGGTAAAGTGGCTAATCCATTCAAGTGATATCTTCTGTTTGCAAGTAATCTGACACCACATATGCTTATTGAGGCTGAGCATTAACATCCATTAGCAAAACATCTGAGCCTACAGCACCCTTAAACGGTCTAACGTGGTCTTCCAATATCTCGTCCAAACATGTCCGAGTGATTACAGAACCTCCTTGAAAGATATGCAGCTCGGTACAGCTATTTCTCATGATTCCTCCCCAAACCATTAAACTGTATTTGCAGAAACTGGATATTTCCGGACAAGAAAAGACAAGTTGCATGTTCCTTCCTCTCTTCAGATCAAAACATGAATGTCTAGAATCACTGCGTAGACTATTTGGAATCGTCAGTAAATAGTACTCCGGCCAATTGAACATGACGATGTCACCAGTTTAAACAGATCCCTCTGAAAGCTGGAGTGAATGCAACACTAACCATTGGTTTTATCGTACACAGTCCAACCTCATTAAGCCTTTGTGTAAAAGGATAATTTGAGTTTCTGGGGCACTTCTTGGTTATGACTCAGACCACCTGATCTTGGAATGCCGGAGACTGTCTTAGGCAATGATTTTCAGTCACTTCCCTGTTAATGTTCTGTCTTTCAACTCCTTGGTATATTTTGATTTGCCATTAGGAATTTAAAAAAAATCATGGTTTAATTTCAGTAATTTGTAATGGATAGCATATTTGCCCCTTGTTGAGTGTAAAATGTTGTAAGGTATTTTATGTTAATTAACGAGTTATTGTGATTTAAGTCCTTACTATAGTTTCTGCTTTCTGTATTCCTCAGCAGAATGCAAATTAATTTGTGTATATTTAAACTGAGGATTTTGATTATTTAGATTAGAGTTTCTGGCAACCGCATCTTGCTGTTAGTTACTCTCGCCTGCTCTGTATAACAGTTATATCCAGCATTTTGGCTAGTCGATGCTTTAAAATACATACCAGTAATATCCTGAGCAGTAAATTCTAATCTAGTCTATTTTATGTATAGTCTTAGTGTAGTTACTACAAAAAGACATAGAACATCATTTTAGGCCCGTTAGCGAAGTGGCTAGCACGTCGCGCAGTTGCACCACAAGTCTGGACTTAGCCTTTCATCCCTTGAGTGGGTTGATAAAATGAGTACCAAGTTCACTTGGGGACTAAACAACAGGGAGCCTGCGACAAGCAGACCACTTGCCCAGCACATATGCTGATGCACCCTGGGGCCCGAGGTCAAGAAGCAAATTTCGGGGTACTGCAGGCAGTGGTCCACTAGGGCAGTTGCGCTACTGAGTTTAGTTTACATTTAAATTTGTTATGTTAATTTAAATATTGACAGATTTAGTGGAGATTAACTAGTGGAGATTTCACCTGCAGCACAAATTGTGCGTGTTTTGTTCAACTTTAGACTAAATAAAAAGTTTATTTTTGAACTTCTGCAGTATTTTGTTAGTTGTTGTATTGGGATTATGTGGGAAGAATGAACATTAATAAAGTAATTTTTTCTCTGAGACTTTTAGTTGCAAAAGCAACTAAAGTAAAATGTGCTTGAACTCCATTAACTTTTTTTTTAAAGAAAGAATTAACAAGGATTACATAATTTGGTAAACGTAAAATGTCTGGAACAGCAACATTTGAATTCTTTCGGGATAAAAGTATCATCCTTACTGAAAAACTTTAGAAAACTATAAATTGAAATTGTATTTTACTAGTATCAAATACCAAGATGACAATGTAATGAAAGAATGTGCTGCAACAAGAAAGTTTAAAAAAAAAAAAGTTGCAACTTCCAAAGCCCATTCATTTTCCAACAGTTCGGTTTATTTACTGTTGGAGTCAAAAATTTATTCTGGTAGAATTCTGTCAACTGCAGCTAGGAATTAATTGCTGAAGAATTGTCTGTTTGAAATAATTATATGTGCTTCTATTTTGAATTTCTGTAATTGTTTTTTCTTTTTTGTATTTAATAAGATAACTAATCTTTTCACAAAGCTTTTTTTCTTACCATTTTGAACTTTTGTTAGATTTCATGCCAACACATTTAAGTTAGTGCCAAATTGCACTTAGTCAACAAAAGTATCTTCTCACACATACACACACCAAAAAAGGTTTTGTAGCTTCCTTTATTAATTTAGTGGAAATCTACAATTAGTTTTATTCTAACACAGAAATTACTATTCAATAGCTATTGAATATTTTATATGGTTACAGTATAATAAAATTTTGGTAGAAAAGCATGATGAAAATTGTTAATTTTTTATACTGAAGTTTGTATAACATAGTAGGTGATTAGTCCTAATTATTTATTAATATTTTCAAAGAATATAAAAGGGTAGTGTAGTCGTAAAGAATAAATTAAAAAAAATTATAGTAAATTTCAAATGAGTAATTTTACAATTTTAGCAATACATTTTAATTTAAATATATCTTTCAACAAATTAAAATATTTACACATTGTTTAAACTGTAATTTGCAGGCAATGGACCAAGGTGTGGCTCTCACAGTTGCTCGATATTTGGATCATGAGGAACACAACTTGCCTCCACCAAGTATTCGTTTAATAGTTACTGCACTGCTGAAAGAAGAAGATATGAATTTAATTATTTCAGTTCTGCAGGAAGCTTGCAAAATTACAATGGAATCGCTATGACTTCAGATATTTTATTTATATGCACCATTATTTTATATTGTGACATAACTGACTTTTCATTGATCTGCATTTTTTAATCGGCATGCCACTATGCTAGTCAATTTGATGCAAAGTATATGCTTTTAGAGCCATTTTATTTTTTATTCTTTGCTTGAAACTTGAAAATTGACGTGTACTTAATTACCATTTTTCTATTAAATCATTTTTTAAGTCATATCTATGGATTAAATCTTTCAGATATTTATATGAAACAGTTAAGTGGTGTCACTGCTCATCTTCTGTGTAATAGTAGTAATAATAATTTACCATACTTATAGTCTTATGAAAAGCTTTTAAGCTGCTTTGCATTTTAAAAGATGCATTTCATATCTTCTTGAAGAATCACATATTTTTGTTATTTATTTAAATCATATTTCCACATTAACTTTAAATGTACTGATTGAAAACATTTTTTAGAAATATTTTATCTAATTAAAATGCATTATTGTAGCAAAGTGGATATAGATTACTTAAATTTCTTTCACACTTTTTTAATTGAAAATTTTCTATTGTGAAAGTTTATGCAATACTAATGTTACTTATATATAGCAGACGGGGTTTAGAAGCTCCAGATCTACTAACCAACATGTTGCCCTCCTGAGTCAATGTGTCAATGGATAATAGACTGGTTCTGACTGCAGTTTTTATTGACCTCAAGTCTGCCTATGACAAAGTATGGCAGGAGTGCTTTTTACTGAAACTTCAGGGCTAGGCATTAGAGCAAATCTTTTTTTAATTGGATTAGAGGCTTAGCCCTCTTTCAGAGTTAGGTACGGCAACATTCTATCAAAATTTAAGATCTTAAAAACAAGTCTCCCACAGGGAGCTGCTAGTTGCTGCTCTCTTTCTAACATCTATATTAATGATTTGATTTATAAAATACAAGAGCTTTCTGGTGTCAAGTGCCTCTTATACGCTGATGATTTGGTTTTCTGGAAAGTTTCTAAAAAAGAAAGTGCAGTGAGAAACATAGAGACTAAACTGTCTGCTGCCTTGAATGCATTGGAAGTTTGGTGTGATACTTATAATATGGAGGTGAACTTAAATAAATCATACTGCCTGACTTTCTCACTTATGCACTAATCTTTTAATCTTCAGCTGATGTATAAGGATACCCAAATCTCCTTGTGTGATAAATTTAAATATTTGGGTGTGACGTTTGACCTCAAATTAACATGGAAGCCACATGTAGAGGACTTGTCTAACTGTGCTATGAAGAGACTCGGTGTCTTTAAATGCCTTGCTGGGGCAAGGTGGGGTTGCACACCCAGCTCCAAACTTATCATTTGCTTATGCTCCCCCTTTTGACTTACTGCTGTGAACCACTTGTTGTGGCCGTAGAAAATGTACTCTATACTCTAGAAAAAATCCAAAATCAGTGCTTACGTATTGTTTCTGGAGCTGTGAAGACCACCCCAATTGACGCCATGTTTATGTTAACTGGTGATAAACCATTAAGAACCATAATTCAAGAGAAGGCCGTAATTCTCTGGGAAAAGATCATTAGAGTTCCTGGATATCTTTCACTCTGGAATGAAGTCAATCAAGATCGGACTAGAAATCTAAAGATCCAGATGAGCTTTCTACAGAGAGTTTTTCAGTTAAAAAATTCACTTGGTTTAAGGAATGAACCAGAATTACTTGTTCCACTACAAAATCCAATAAATTTGAAATCTTTCTGGATTAATCTTGACCTGGGCCAAAAAGTAATGAAACGTAATATGGATCCCTCTGTTTTAAGAGCCCTCGCTTTCGAAGTATTAAATATTTTTTACCCTGAGCCAGAGTGGCTTCGGATCTTTACTGATGGATCCTTTCTGTCTGATGGCCCTAATGCAGGTGCTGGAGTTTTCTCCAAAATTTTCTCTTTCTACATCCCTCTGGGCCGAGGTTCTGCGTTTGACGGTGAAATTGCTGTGATTCGCACAGATCTGTACCAGCTAACATGCCACTTGGAAAAATTCACAAGAGCTGCTATACTCGATGATTCCTGAGCTGCTCTGTTGGCTATCGTTTCAGATAAAAATCCTATATCATAGGATATATTGGATTGTCGACATTATTTATAAAACCTGGCTTTACTTGAGAAAACTATAGTCCTCCAGTGGGTTCCTGCCCATTGTGGGATTCCAGGTAATAAGAAAGCCGACTTCTTGGCAAAAAAGGGTGCTTTAATCATGCAGAATATTTCTCACCCTTTGTCTTTCCATACTGTTAGGGATCTTATTAAAAGATCTTTCAAAGTACGTGCTAAGGAAGATCATGTTTCTCATAAGTCTTGGAAGAATGCTGTCCCGAATTTGTGTAATGGCCCAAGGCTTAGAGCAGTCGCTGAATTCCGCCTTGCCACTGGACATGACTGCCTACAATATCATCTTCATAGATTCAAAATTGTTCCTTCTCCGATATGCCCTCTGCGCAGCTCTAGAGAGGTGATGGATGCAGCACATCTGCCCCACTGTCCTGCTCTGCGCAAGACTTTTCTCGCCGAGCGTTACTGGGAGGCAAGAGATATGTTAGATTAATGGACTCTGTTACAGCTGTTTTTTTTTTTTTTTTTATTGTATTGCTGCATTCTATGTTCTTTGTTTTTTGGCTGTAACAGTTCATAATCTGTCATTGGAAATTTAAAAAAAAAAAAAAAAAAAAAAAAAAAAAAACTGTTATATATGTAGAAATTGTAACATACTTATATCTAGAAAATTTAAGTTAGGTTCCCTTCCATTCTCATGTCTAATGGCATTTAACTCTGTAGATTTCAAAAATGCTTTGATATGTTCTTTCCTCGTTACGCAACAAGATGCAAAGTCTAAGTTTCAAATACCAGAAATAAAATATATTGTAATATCTCCCTTATTGCCAAATATATTTTCCTTTATTGCCATAAATTTGATCAACATAAAATACTCTGCAAAATTGAATAAATGTATAGAATGATAATGATGAAGAGCAAGTATGGAGATCACAAGAATAAGAAGAAAGAATGGCAACGTGTGAAGAAAAATGATAATACTGTTTAAGAGAATCTTAGTACCTTTGTGCAGTTATGTAAGGGCATACTTAAGTTCCATTATAGTTCATTGAGTTAGTGTAACAGTAACTTCATGTCTACCTAAAGTATCCTAGAGATGGTAAGTTGCATTGATGGAACAGAGATCTTATATAAACTAAACACACTGGCACAACAGCCCTAGTAGGCCACGACCTGCAGTGCCCGAATCGCTTTTTTTTTTTTTTTTTTTACCTTAAGCCCCAGAATGCATCAGCATATGTCTTGGGCAAGTGGTCAGCTTGTCGCAGGCGCCGCTCGTTTTTAGTCCCCAAGCGAACTTGGTACTCATTTTATCGATCATCTTCAAAGGATGAAAGCTGAGTCAACCTTGCCCAACCCGGGGATCGAACCCTGGACCTGTGGTGCAGCTGCATGAAGCGCTAGCCACTGTGCCACCGGGCCTAGAGACCTTATATGGCAGCCTCATACCTACCTAAAGCAGATATCAAATTAGATCAGAAATTCCTGCTACTCTGTGATACTATGAACATTTTTAAGAATTTTGCTTACATAGCTTGGCTATTGTCTTCAACTGTTGACCAAAATGCCAAGCAAAAATCATTGACACTCTTCCTGACTGATAGTGTTCTGATAGTTAAGGCAGCTAAATAACGGTAGTCTGAACTTGGGATCACTTCATGATTAGTTTTCCGTATGTGTAACATGAATACGAGCCAGGTTCTCTTAGAAATTCTTCCATGAAGTTATATCTCCCCTTAGGCAGATAATGCTTGACTACTTTGCTATATTCAAATAATCTAATCTAACCCAACCACCTTACTACTTGATACATGCTTTAGCTTACTGCTTTCGCGTGTGCAGCATGAAATTTAGAACAATATTTTGTGTCTCCAAATAAAATGTTATGCTTGGAAATTTATCTTCCAAACTGATTCTATATTTTGAAGTCATAGGGGGACTGGAAAGTAATGCCGCTTTCTTGCATTAAATTCACATGAATAATTTTTAACAGGTTTTTATTTTTAATGAATAATGTAATCACCCTCATTATCAGCAACCATCTAGTGTGAAGATTTTCAATCCCCGGACTGATATAAATCAATTGGTTTTTGAGTAAAATATCTCGAGATGGCATTTTGGACATCATCCAAATTTTCAAATTTTTTGGCTATAAGAAAATGTTATAAGGATCGGAATAAATAGAAATCCGAGTGTACGATATTGGGTGATCCCAATTAATTCATTTTTTCTAGTGTCCGTCTTGCACTGTCATGTTGCAAAATGATGCCTTTTCTATTGACAATCGCCGGATATTTTTTGATTAAAGGTTGGTTCATTCGATCCAATTGTTCACAATAAAGATCTGCATTAACAGTTTGTCCAGCTTTCAGCAATTCAAAATGAACAATTTCGCAAATACTCCATCAAACACACAGAAGCGTCTTTTTGGGATGTAAACCGTTTGTAACCCCTGTTAAAACTGCCTTTTGCATTTTGGATTATCATGTAGGACCCATTTTTCGTCTCCAGTAATCAAATGATCAAAAAATGATTCTGTATGGTGCCATTCAAGCAATACGTTGCATGTGGTGGATCGGTTGGCTTTGTTCTCTTCGGACAGATTATGGGGGACTCAAACACCTACTTTGCTTATTTTTCCATTCTGCTTTAAGTGTTCTTGGATGGTTGACCAAGGTTGGTTAAGAGTGTTTGACATGGATTTGCTTCCACTTCTGCCCTTAGCACGTTGTTGTCAAGATGCGCAGAAACGACATTACTTTCCGGTCCACCTATTATTTCTGCAGTAAATATTATAAGTTGCCCTTGATATTTCAAGTCGGATCAAGTCTGATGTATCTTTAATGTATGTGAGAAATGTTTTAATTAGGTTAAAATATTATCAAATTTGCTATGTATGTTATGACTGCAGCGTTCTCGCTTTCCAGGTATTTAAAAAAGCTGCAAGGATTCAAGTAGTGCTGTGCAATTAAAGTTGGTATACAAATAATCATAAAGAGCAATGATTGTATTGATAATGTTCAAGGGCCTAAAATAACCATTTTGCATTATTCCAGCTGATATCATTTAGCTGCATGGATATCATGGATGTTTCATGTTCATATTAACTCTTTCACAACCAATCCGCCCGACACGGCCCTACATTGAAAACAACCAGAACCGCTCGAAAACGGCTGAGATTGTAATCTTGTTTTCTTCTCTCCTCCTAAGGTATACAGTAGCAGGTGCAGTTTCCCCAAATGCATTGTATCAGTTTACTGCAGACAGCTTGTCCTAAAGGCCCGTTCAGACTTGATACTCAATGACGCTATCGGAGCTAATCAGCGCATGAAACAAGGCTCTACCTAACCTAACTCGTTCACACTTACTAGAAGCATCCACTAGTGACAGCCAATAAGCAAGTAGGAGCTCGTGCATGCTTTCATTTGTTTACATTTCGTAGCAGACGGTGTTCCGCCGTTAATCTTCGAGTGATAGAGTGACTTCGGAAAAAAAATTGTTTGATTGAAACGTGTGGTGAGCAGAAAACAACGAAAATGTATTTTGTTGCGGAGTTTTCTTCTTGCAGCATATGTATTGTATAAGACTTTAGTAAAAAAGCCACGAAGTGTACTTTAGAAAAAAGCCACGAGTGGGTGAAATCCATTTACCAGCAGAGAGCAATTCATGGACATCATTCTGCTTTGCTACCTCATCTATGAGAGAATTATCATGACTTATTCTTCAATTTTACGAGGATGTCGGTAAGTACAATTTCATTGAATATAACAATAATATAGTTATGTTATAGTAGCATTTCCCAAAATTTCAAATTTTAATATACAGTTTTGTTGTAATCCATGCTCATCATGTTTTTTTAAGAGCCTGCTAAACATCAAAATCAATGAAGGAGATTACATTTTCTGCTTTTTGCAAAAAATAAATTGAAAATTGCAATTTCTGCATTTTTCTTAAACATTGAGAATTTAGAAATGCATAAAGAAAAGAATGCTTACGTGAAGGATGATTAGTTATTTGTCATTTCCTTTTAAAGTATGATTTGCAATGTAAAATGAAAATGCTTAGCTTATTTGCTAATTGAACAGTGCTAAGAATCGCACAAACTTTGTGTCCATGTACACATCGATTTATTTTCACTTAAAAAAACATCAGAGAATTGCAGAATCTCGGCATTGCACACTGCCTTGACTTTGTCCATGTACACATCAATCTGATTTTACTTTTAAAAAATCAGGAGAATGATGACGTCATATAAGTTTAAAACAAAGTTATTCATTGTCAAAATTGAACAAAATTTGTAGCCATTTGAAGCTCCATAAACTGCATTTTAAATCACACAATGAAAAATAACTTAAAAAAGGAAATATCGACTTACCTTATTTAGAAATTTCTGTGTCTCCAATCTGTGGTACACAAAATTCCTTAACAGCATCCAAAAACTTTTTTAAGTTATCTGAACTAGAATATGCATACTGCCGTCGCCACATTAATTCACAAAAATAAGAATAAAAAATATCCTACGTAGTGCCGGACTGTCGGTGATATTTCTTCCGAAAATCCCATTTTATTATATTCCACATACTTTCAATAGTGTTGAGGTGAACTCTGGTTTCTGGATCCTTAAATGTCACTGTATGATTTACTGAGATGTGAAGCCATTATCAAAAAGACAATTGTACGACTTCCAGCAGTTGGATATGATCATTGTTTAGGTAAAATATTCTGTTGAATTACATCCAACAAAATTTAATTTCTTCTGTCTCAACCACACCAAGTTTACCACTGTCAGCCATTTTACCATGCAAAGCACAAAATATGCAACGTACTTAAACACATCATGTTTTTTTTTTGCATTATAATTGCAGCACTCAAATGGAACAAAAAACTAATCGACATCTAGCACAGAAATAAGCCCTTACAAATATTTTTCCCCATCAGTCAAATTCACCTCAATGATGCAACCAATCATGTCTTAATAGGTTTCTATAACATTCAATTACTCAGGTTACTATAAATGAAACAACAATTTGGCAATAAATTAAATAAAAACTTGGTGACAATCCAAGGGGCACCTTAAAATATAGACTAACCCAAATTGTAAATGTAAGTTTAGTATTTTTTCATTCACTTCAAGCAGAAAATTTATCTTGATTTCGATAAATAAGGTTGCCTTGATTTTTCTCATATTTCAAATTTTTATTGTCACTGCTAGTGATGGGATATCAATTATAAAAAAATGAGTTAACTACCCTAACTATTTTAGGAAAAACATTTGGAAATATTTATTAATACATGTATATATTTGTTCCTGCCGAAGATAGCTCGAACTTATTTAATGAAACTTAATTTCAGTAAGTGGACTGTAATATTAATAATAACAAATTTATTTTAACAAAAACAACATTATTGAATACTAGCACACACATGTGTTTATAGTTACCTATGCAGCTTAGCTAAAAGTGAGCAACCATATGCTCTTACATCAAGTCAAAAAATCATACATACTAATAAGGCAAAAACGAAATAACTTTAGGGTTACACTAAAGCCGAACTCTGCTTGGCGTAAAACAATGCTGCCAAGCAATAAATACTCTTTCAGACACCGAACATCCCGCCCGGCGTTAAAATATTAATTTCAATACAATAAGTAAAATTCAGAAAAGTAATAATGTTCATATAATACAAAATGATACAATGTAAATTAATGCATAAATTATAATACTTGTAATTACAATGTGAAAAGAACAAATATGATAGATTACAATTCAAACCTTCAAATAAACATAAAAAATTCGTACATTATTTCTCAATTGGCAGTACAGCACTTTTAGTAACTGCTCATTTATAAATACCATTTTTGGTTTTGACAGAGACAACTAGCACAAGGTTGTTCTTCTATAAACACATCTACAATTCTCCCTAACAACCATTTGCAGGTAGGAAGATTTTGTTCCTTGATCACTACCATATCCCCTATTTTAATATTTTGTTTAGTAATCATCCATTTATTTCTTTGAATCAAAGTGCTCAAGTAATTTTTAGTCCTGCTCTTCCATATATTTTGTACCATTTTTGTAGTTTTTTGCCATAAACTAAGTCTGTTATTATCTACTTCTGTTAAGTTGGGTTCAATTATTGAATTGATCGGTCGACCTATAAGGAAATGACCAGGGGTCAAAACATTTAAATCATCAATATTAGAAGTTAACGGTGTAAGAGGGCGAGAATTTAAGATTCCCTCTACTTGAACTGTTACTGTCAAAAATTCTTCATAGGTTAATAGTGAATTTCGTAGTGTTCGTTTAAAATGAAATTTAAAGGATTCTATTCCTGCTTCAGATAGACCATTAAAATTTGGTGCTCTTGGGGGTATAAACTTCCATTGTACACCTTCCTTGGCTAGAAAATTAGCTAAAGTTCCACTCTGCTTTAGAAAAATACTCTTTAATTTTTTAATTTCTGTATTTGCACTAACAAAGTTTTTTGCATTGTCACTAAATATTTTTTTTGGTTTACCTCATCGGGCAAAGAACCTCTTCAGACAAGCAATGAATGCTTCTGCGGTTAAGTCATCGACAATCTCTAGATGAATTGCTTTTGTCACCATACAAACAAAAATACAAACATATAAGAATCTTATGATAGTTACCCTTGCGTTGCCCTTTGTACTTTATCAAAAATGGGCCGCAGTAATCAAAGCACAACAATTAAATGTAAAGTTAATATTAATTCTCTCTTTAGGTAATTCTCCCATTAGTTGTTGAGAAATTATTGATTTTGCCTTAAAGCAAATTATGCAGTTTGGGACTATCTTTCTAGCTATATTCCTGCTATTAATGGGCCAATAAATTTGTCTAATAGAATTTAATAGTGATTATAGACCATTATGAAAATCCTTTTCATGAAAATAAATAAATATAAGTTCAGTTAACTTATTCTTGGCAGGCAAAATAATGGGATGTCTTTGATTATAACTTAAATTTGAATTCTTTATCCTACCATCTACCCTTATCAGACCTTTTTCATCTAAGAAGGGATCAAACTATTTTAACTTACTCCTTGATGTTATATGTAGACCTTTCTGCAACAAAGAAATTTCTTCTGCAAAATACCTACCTTGGATATATTTAAGGAGTGTATTCCTTGACAGCTCTTTTTCATCTATACTAATACTACCTGTTCGTTTCTCACTTGTGTTCCTACAGTTGTAAATAAATCTGAAAAGTAAACTAAGAATTCGTATTAGTTTCAAGAAATCATTAGTTATTTTTAGGCAGTCATCAAAGAATGAATCAGTTTTTAAAGTCAACAAGGAAGTCGTAACTGGTTTCAGTTCTGAAGAATAAAGCTCATCACTAAGTCCATTTTTATCTTGAAAATTGTTCTTGTTTAAAAAATCAGGACCTTTCCACCACAGCTTGTTAGATATAAGAGTTGTAGCATCTGATCCTCTGGAAATGATGTGGGCTGGGTTAGTTAGAAGTAAGTTGTTGAATTTGTGAGACTCTATTACTCACAAAGGTTTTCAAAAGATGTGGTGATGTATTGATCCAGGCTAAAGCAATGCTTGAATCTGACCAGAGCTTAACGTCATAAATTTTGAGTTTCAAAGCTTCTAAAACCTTTTGCATGAGTTTGGACAGGAGTAGACATCCTGATAGTTCTGTCTAGGAATAGTCATGGTCTTGATTGGTGCTACACAAGATTTGCTACAAAGAAGTTTACTACAATATTCACCAGGGCTTGTAATGCTTTGAAGATATATGACTGCCCCAAACGCAGTCTCGAAGGCATCCGCAAATCCCTGTAAAATAGCATTGAAAAAGTCTCTTTTAAGATGGAACGAGGTACTTGTATATTTTCTATACTATGAAGAGTTTTAATGAACAAATTCCATTCATTGGCAAGAGGTGGTGGTAACTGTTCTGCCCAGTCTAGCTTAAGCAACCAAAGTGCTTGCATGAATATCTTTGCCTTGCTAATAATAGGACCGAGTAGACCTAAAGGATCATATAATCTCGCTATTTGAGATAAAACATCTCTTTTCGTAACATCAGGCTTTTCATTAACAGTAACTTTATATTGCAATGTATCCTTCTTATTATTCCACAACATACCTAACGACTTCACAGTTGTATTACTATTACAATCAAATGAAAAATTCTGTAAATTTAAGTTCTGCGAATCAAAACTAGTACACCACTTGTGTAGCTTCATTCCTCCTCTTTGGAGCAATTCTGTCAAATCTTTCTGGAATTTGTTTAATGCATTCCTTCAAATTCGAAGATCCAGTAAGACAGTCATATACATAGAAATCTTCCAAGACCACTTTCGATGCTACAGGAAAATCCTTTTCTTCATCCTTCGCTAACTGTTGAAGAATCCTTTGTGCCAAGTATGGAGCGCATGCTGTGCCATAAGTTACTGTTTTGAGTCTGTATATTTTTATAGGCTTATGATCATCTTCCTTCCAAAGTATTTTTTGATATTTGGTCTGCGATGGCAATATTTCAATTTGTCGAAACATCTTCTTGATATCGGCAGTAAATGCATAAATGTGTTTTCTAAACCGTATCATGATGGAAAAAAGTTCCTCTTGAATCATTCCACCTTTACATAATATGTCGTTCAATGAACAACCGTTAGTAGTTTTGGCACTCGCGTCGAACACGACGCGTAACTTTGTTGTTTTACTATCAGGTTTCAGCACGCCATGATGAGGAAGAAATTATCCTCCTTCAGTTTCAGAATAGTCTTCCATCTTTTCCATATGATTTAATGATTCATATTCCCTTAAAAATGAAACATAAAGTTCTTTCATTACAGAATCACTTGACAAACGTTTCCACAATTGATTCAGTCTTTTTTCAGCGATTTCCTTTGAATCCCCTAATTGTATGTTTTCACCAATATCTGGCTTGAACAGCATTTTAACCACATATTTTCCATCCGCATGTCGGTAAAGTGAGTTTTCAAAAAGTTCATTGCAGTAATTTAATTCAGAATTAACTGTAGGTTTAGTTTCATTTACTTCTTCAACTTCCCAGAATGATTTTACTAAGTTATTTAACGAATTAATCTCTGTTGACAAAAAACAATAATTTAAGTAATAATTTTTTACATTTGGAATTTTAATGCTTCCAGAAACTAAAAAGCCGAAGCAGCTGTTTTGAAGAAGTAACTCATTATCTTCTAAACATATTTTATCTGTTTTTAGAAATTCAAAAAATAATTCCGCTCCTAATAATAAATCTACCTTTTTTTGCTTTGAAAAATTCGTCATCAGTTAAATTTATTCCTTTTGGAATATTTAATTTTGAAATATCAATAGATTTCGATGGTGTCATGTCAGTTATTTTGGAAACAACTAATAACTCTATTTCCCATTCATTTTCCTTTTCTAAGTTCGATAAACATGTCTTTATTTGCAATTTAACATTCAAAGTAGTGTTGCCTATTCAACTAACTGGAATAAATGCTCGTTCTTTTTTTATTCCTAATGAGTTCATAACACCTACAGTACAAAAATTAGAAGTCGAAGCTGAATCAAGCACGGCTCTAAAAGGAATTCGTTCATCATAAACATCACGAAGATAAACAATCGCTGTATTTATTAACACAAATTTAGATTTATTTGCAGCTGCCATCAAAGTTGTGTGGGGGGAGAAGGGCAGTCCTCTTTCTCATTCACTGACGAATGGTTCAAGATCAATTCCTTTTCTTTCGATGATTCATTTTGTTTTTCGTCACTTTTATGCAAAAGCGTATGATGTGTGTCTTTCTTACAGACATAACAACTGAATTTAGCTTTACACTGCGATAATACGTGTGATGGAGAAAGGTATTTAATGCATAATTTATATTCCTTAACAAAATCATACCGCTCAGAAACAGAAATGCTCTTAAATTTCGAACAATGATAAATTGGGTGTGGTTCTTTACACATAATACACTTTCGAAAAGGGTTTGTTTTAGTTACCAAGGATTTAAAATTTTTAGAGCGACTTAATTGATTTGATACTTTAGTAGCATAGCTCTGCTTAGGAAAACTAACTTTGCTTATTTCTTCAAGAATGTGAAATCTTTCTTCGAGAAATTCTAAAAATTCATCAAGTTTGGGAATTTCATTTGATTTTACATTTAGTTCAAATGCTTTTCTAGATTCTCTATCTAATTTATGCAACAAAATATTTAATATCAAAACATCAGATAAACTATTTCTATCAAATTCTAATACACTTAAAGATCTCAAACATCTCTTTTAACATTATTTACTAGTGATCTCAACTGAGAAGGTGAGTCATTTATTTTTTCAAAGTTCAACAAATTATTAATAAAGGCATGAACTACTGCTCTTTTGTTTTCATATCTGCTTTCAAGTGCAGAAAATAACAACTCAAATGTATCCTGACATGATTCTAACATTTTTGCTTCACCTTTAAGTGATGCTTTCAAATAAAACAGTTTCTCAGTAGTATATATATATATATATATATATTTATATCATATATTTATTTTTTATTAATAGGGCAATCAGTTTGATCAGCTGCTTTCCCTGATTGGAAAGAAAATTGAAAAGACGACGACTCATTTAAGAAAGCCAATTCTCCATCAGAAAGACTGGCACTTTGTTTGAGGTAAGTAAAGACTCATAAATTGAATAACCTCTATGGTTTTCATTAATTATGTAAAAGAAAATGTGTGTGAGTATATGTACACACATACACACACATATTTTCCATGTGTATACATATATACAGTTACATAACTAGGGTGTGGCAAGGGGGGACATCTGTCCCCAGGCGCAGCATCTAAGGGGTGCCAAATTGATGCTACGAAATTTTTTCCCTGCTTATACAGTGCAAAGTCTTTAATCTGGACGTCCATAATCCAGAACGATCTATAATCCGTACCTCAAAGCTACAAATTTTATGCGCATGCGTAAACGTATAATGCGTTAACACATGCGTGTTTAATGTATAACGGATGGTATAAGCTAGGCTAAAATCTAAGGCATTTCAGTTAATGTTGCAGATTGTGCTGTTCCTTAATATTCTAATTGGATCCGCCTTATTATTTTTTGCAGACTGTTAGGGCAGTTTTATTAAAAGTAAGCTTGAACATTTGATTATGTCAAAAAGAGTTTCAAATTCTGGAGCTGCCAAAGGATCTACAAAGCGAAAGCATGTTTCGATGTCCATCAAACAAAAAGTGGAATTGCTGCAAAAAATGAATAAAGTCTCAAAAGTCGAGGCTTGGAATTGGAAGCAATTGGAAGGACATTGGAAAGTCAACTGTATATGACATAAGCAAAAAGAAAAAGGAACTTTTGAATATTTTGTGGATTCCGACACCCCACTTGCAATGACTAACAGAAATAGGGTTCGTTATGCTAAAAGTGATGATCATCACTAAATGATGAATGTTTAATAAAGTAAACAAATAAATATTAAGCTTTTTTTTTTTGTAAATTTTGATACCCAGATCATATAATTGCTCTTTATTTCATAAATTACAGTTTCATATTTTTAATTGTATGATTTCTGCATGCCATCTTACTAGATTTAAATTGATGATCTATAATCTGGAAAAACCCCTAATCTGGAATCGCCGAAATCCTGACGAGTCCGGATTACTAACTTTGTACTGTATACATTATGTTTCTTTACTTTTGTAAGGTAAAGTAAGTATGTATGTTAGATGGATACCGAGTTTGTGCAATTCTTTGACTTGTTATTCTGGCATTGCGTAGTGGCGATTTTAGGTACACAAAGCCAAAATAAAGAATTGCACAAACTCAGTATGCATGTACCGCCAAAAATCACCAATGGGTACCTGTAAATATACTTTTACCCTTCTATTTGCTATAATAATATGCTTATGAAATATCAGGCATATCTTGTGTTAGTATGCAATAGCTGATATTTGTTTTTGGAAAGTTGTGTTTTCGAATTATATTTGCAATTATCTATTACTAAATATAAGCAAAATGAGTTTACTTTTCTATTATATATACTATTGACCCCCCTTTTTTTTTAATAAACGTGCTTGTTTTGAAAAAAGTTATTTAAAGTAAATAAATAAAAGTTCTGAAAATAGACTCGCATAAATATTCGAACAAACAGTTTATGAACTAAAATTACCAAAACAAGCTTATGTTTAACAAATATTACCTCAGATTTTTCTTTTTCCATGTGTACAATGGCAAACCAGTTCTATTTTTCAGATATTTTATTTCAGAATAAATATGTATTATTTCTTGCTGATATTGAGTTTTTTTTTAAATTTAATTTATTTTTTAAAGGTTTTTAGCTACTGGTGGACATATGCAGATCTTTCCTTTAGCTTTAGAATTGGCAAATCGACAGTATGCAATATTATACATGAGACCTGTGAAGCAATTTGTCAGACTTTAGGCCCATTGTGTTTGCCTGAAATACGTTCACAAAACCACTGGACTGAAGTTGCAGATGGTTTTTCATACAAGTGGAATTTTCCTAACTGTGTTGGTGCAGTTGATGGTTAGTGGCATACCTTTTATTTTTGAAATATAGTATTGACCCTGGAAGTTCATTATTTAATTAAATGTTGTTGAATATATAATTATATCTATGACATTACAAATAATGATATTTAATATTCTAGTTTAACACCATTAATGACAAAATGTAGTGTTATTTTTTAATGAAATTTAATATATGAACAATATAATCTTTTCCTCAGCATTGAAATTTTCTTCTATAGAAAATAATTGTGATTGTAATTTATCATGTCTTTATTACATATTCACAAAGATTCATGAATGATGAAATATTATATGTTTTTATTGATAGTGTTTTTTTCCCTTTCATTATAGGGAAACACATTGCTATACAAGCCCCAAATGCAGGATCGTCCTATATAAATTATAAAGTATTCCACAGCATTGTCGTAATGGCTGCATCTGATGCTCATTATAGCATTTTGTATATGGACATTAGAAATTTTGGGTGAATTAGTGATGGCGGAGTTTTTGCCAATTCTTCACTAGGTCGAAAGTTACAAAACTCAAAATTTTTACCTGAGCCAGCATTGCTTCCTGAAAGTAACAAGGTTTTGCCATTTGTTTTTATTGCGGATGAAGCATTTCCTTTAAAAACAAATATGTTGCGGCCATTCCCAGGGAAACTCCTTCCTCAGAATAAAAGAATATTCAATTATCGTCTGGCAAGGGCAAGGAGGTGCATCGAAAATGCATTTGGAATTTTGACGGCTCGATGGAGAGTACTTCGAAACACTCTCAACGTTCAGCCAGACAAAGCAGATAGAATTGTGTTTGCTTGCTGCTGCTTGCATAATTTTCTCATGAGAAATGAAATGGGTAAGGCTGCGAAGAGCTACTGTCCATTTGGATATGCAGATTCTATGTTTGAAGATGGATCTGTTCAAGAAGGCATGTGGAGGCAAGATGAGGGCTATTTACAATCAGTTGGTCGACAAGGTGCCAATAATGCTACCGAATGTGCAGCTGCCATTCGAGAAAGATTCATGCATTATTTTAATGAAGAAGGAGCTGTTCCCTGGCAAAACAAATTTATTTAGTTTTTCTGCTCTCTTTATGTTTCTTTTTGTATATGTAAATTGTGTGTTATTTAAGCTAATTTCATATGTTTATTGCATATTAGTAATATTCTATAATAAAAAATAAAAAGACATTTTCTCTTTGGAAGTAATATATTTTGTAGCAAATAAAAAAATGAAGTCAATGAGCATGGAAGAGTTGAAGCTATTTTATCTATTTTCCCAGCTCATGCAATAAGCTCAGAAAACTCACTTTGGCTTTGTATTTTGCCTCTTTGCTTAATTCTTTAAAATTTGGTAGCATACTCGGTAGGAAATTTCTGTCGGGATCATCATCGTCTTTTTCTGTCAATACTTCTCATGAAATCTAGAATTTCATCTGTTGCATCTTTTTTCCTCTTTTTAGTGCAGACATTGGATGCTGAATTGCCATTATTTAATGAAGATGTTTTGGAGCCTGTCATAGCAGCTTAGCTGCTAAAATCGACCCTATCTGTCCTGTCTGTCATTATTGACAGACTGGACTAAATCGGTGACACCCCTTTCGTCATCAGAAGGAACAGTAGCACTCAAGTCGAATTCTGAGTCATGTATAGAACTATTGAGGCTTGGCTCCATATTTTCTTCTATCTCCTTATTCCAAGTATCATTAGTGATTGTTCTGCAAAAAAAAAAAAAAAAAAAAAAGTATGTTTCATTTTACAAATTATTTTACTTTTGTAAAAGGGGAAACAATTCTAAAAGCTTTTAATTTGTATGGTAGAAGCAAAAACATGTTCATGTCATTGATAGAAAACACAATGACACTCTTTGATATGGTATTAGCAACAAGTAAAATTAATTTAAAATAATGTCTGGGTATATCTAACTTTCTGTTAAATGCATAGTCCATGATGCTTGCATAGTCCTTGCTCCCAACATGCTTTACAACTAACTGGTGGTGTAAAATAGTTTAATTTTAATAAAGGTGAGACATTTTCATGTTCTCTGGCATGGCAATCTTTAATGCAGAAGCGGTAACAACAAAAGTTCATTTAAAATAATTAACATATCAGTTCTCCATTGAGTTAAGCTCAGTGGCCATTCATTACGTTTGACCTGTTAATTCAACATTTAGAAAACACTACAAAGTCACATAAAAAGTAAACTTCATTGTTACCTATGTTTCATATTCCCCGAAAAGAGTTTTTTTATATGAATGTTATTGAAATACTCAAAAGTGAATTTTAAAGAAAAATTTTCTGTTTGATTTGTTAGTTATTCTGTTGTTACAAATTCTGCAATTAGTTAAATTATTAATGCAATAAAAACAATGTCATTATATGCATAAAACAGAGTATCAAATTTTTTTAGTCAAACTATGATTACTTTATTATTGATGGGAATAAATATTAATCTTTAGTTGAACATGTAAAAAAATGTTAAGCATTTAATCATTGAATACAATTTGTAAAACAGAGGACCAAAAAGTGAACTTGATAACCGAGTTAAAAGTATTTTTTAGTGAGGGATCTTATTTTTCAAAAAATTTTAATAAAATTTTAACTTGAATTTATGACTTTAAGGATTTCTTTCTCCTTATATTTGGAAATTTAGTTTTGTTTTAGAAATGTGTTAAGATTTAGACAAACAGATGAATCTTTGGTTATATATATTATTTACATGTCATATATATGACGTCATGTGTTTGTTAGGCACATGATGACAGAGGACTTTCTTCAGAAAACTGGCTTGTATTCACATAACGTGTGGGCTAAACCAGGCATCGACAACTTATGGCACGCAGTACAATTCTCAGTGGCACTCTACACCACTCTTAAGAAAATTATCAGACAAAGGTAAATCTTCCTGTATTTACTCTCTGCGCTGTCAGGAAAGTTTAGCTGCCAGAATTTCATCACAGTGCTTAATTTTTCTAATGAACACTTTTTAAAAAATAATACATAATAAAACTCTAAATCTTTATTCTCGTCTTCTGTTCCCTAACTCTGCATGTATTGCTGTGTGAATCAAATTGTTTTAAATATTTCCTACTGTACGGCATCATGAATCATATTGGTAAACTGGTTTGGCACACTACAGCTACAATGTTCCGACTCCTGGGCTAAACCATGAAAAATACCCATGTACTAGCGTGTGGTGTGAAGTTTTTACTGAAAGGGCCTACATACAAAGAAAAGTATAATCGCCTCCAAATGACCATATATAGACTGTGGTAATGATAGTGTTTGAGAGATGAAACTTGCTAGTGGTATTTATATATATGTTCTCAAAAATACTGATCACTTTCAGAACTAGTCATCTCAAGTAGATGGTCATTATGACTGGGGAAATTATATTTTGAATATGAAGATCAATGAGTACAATAATGGTTAATATGCTGTAATAATTTATGACAGTTGTATAAACAGAAAAAGTCAGAATGGTCACAACATAACAAATAATTAGTTAAAACCATTTTATCTCAAAAACAGCATGAGGCTAGTAAAAGACATTATATTTAAGTTTGTGTATCATTAATCATTTAAAAATTATATAACAATCCACTTTTGAACAATGAGTGTACTATTTCATGCTTATACCAATGTGAACATACAGAGTAGATTTATGTTTTGTGAAAATGTATTGATCCAAAATACATGGTAGACAAGTAAATTTCTTATCACCTATGAGCAGTAATTAATAGCATGTCTACAACAAAACTGCTTTGGGAACAAGTGAAAACAAGTCATTCTTAGTATAAAGACAATGAAACTCAAGCTTTTTACATTCGTATGAAAAACCTGAATTTTTATGAATTTAAGCACACTACTGTATACTAGTGATGATCTTATCTGTCCTGCCAGTTTATTTACATTTGAACACAAACTTGAAATAAGGGCTTAATCATCGACATTATACTTTTAATAACACAGTAAACAACCAGTTATAAAAAATTTTATTCTGGCAATCTGATATATAATTCATCGTAAATAAATCCATTTTCAAAAAATAAAAAAAAAATTATGATCTGTCAAGAAGAAGGTCCCTTAAAAAAACATATGCAGTCTTTTAGAAGACATGGAGATATAGCTTACTTTCTTGAAATCACAACAGGAGCCAGAAAAGACATCTGGGCAACAAGAGGCCAAGGTTTTTGAACAGAGTTAGCCCCATCTCCACTCTTGGCTGTTCTTTTTTTTTTTTCTCGAATACAATTTTCTTAAATTTTGCCACCTGTATATAATCTCATCAACTGTAATAAATGGATATTAAAAGTTTAAAAGCATTGTCCCAAACTGTTTACAAGGCAAAATTTAAGAAATGTTTTAAGTGAGATATTGCATTAACTGGAACACAATTAGGTGCAGTTTTTTGAACTTAGTTCAAAGCAGTAAAAGTTAAAATATTAAGATAATTATCATTACTTGAAAAAAATGTGAATGCTAAGTATCAGTATTATATAATAACCATTATTCTTTTCTGAGTTGACTAAGTATGGCAAGGGGTTATTTATTCCTTTTGTTCAAAATTTGGTCATTAAGTATATATTTGGTATTAAGTATTTCAAATCATCAAAAATTGTTTTGAAAAATAAAAACATGTTATATTGTTGTTATCAGTATTTTTATTCCAAATAATTAGAGTGTGCACGAGTTTATAAAGTTGGTGCGATTTATTTTATTATATGAGCAATAAACAGTACCTTTCTTTTTATGAAGAGAAAAGTTTAGAAGGAAGAAAAATATTACATTAACGCTTTTGTTCATGCTTTGCTTTCACTACTTTTAATTTCATTACTAACTTTATAATACAAATAGATATATTATCTGAGGTCATTGATATCAGTAATTCAATTAATATTCCAGATTCAAAATCTAAACACAAAAATGTAAAAAAAAGAAAATTACTTACCATTCCGATGGAGACGATCTGCAATCATCATCCAAGCACATTCTTTTATTTTATTTTTATATTCCTTAAGTCTATTATCCCGTATAACGGGATGTCGCTGGATTTCAGCAATTAGACTTTAATCCTCGCTCATGTCGTCAGCCATGTTGTTTATTGAACTTAGCGCGCTTCTGCTGATTTGAAATACTCTCCTGATTGGTCAGTTCCATGTGTCGACTAGCTCTGTTCTGCGTGAAGTTCGGATTTTTCAACTGGGTTCATAGTGACAAAAAACTGGTTTTTTCTGGATGTGTTCGTTAGCTTCGATATGTCCCAGTGTGAACAGCGCTTAAGAGGTTTCTTATCTTTTGCTTGCTTGTGACATTTCGTTGTTGATTCTTTTGTGGTACAGTGTGCTTTTAAGCTTTAAACAGCAATAAAATTGCAGTTTAAAATTTAAGGATTATATTTATTTTTAATCAATTTATTACTTCCTATAAAAATAACGGAAATAAGCAAAATCTAAGTCATGATCATAACAAAGCCAGAAAAGCTTGTTGGTCTGACCTTCAGAATAGTTTTATAAAGAACGGGGTCAAAGGCTAATGGAATCTTTGTTAGAAAGTACAAAGGATGTCATTGGAAATCTTCACACCTATTTTCTGCGTTAATGGACGGGGAGGGGAGGAAATTGGAAAAGTATTTCGGGCGTTTCGGTGTTTTGAGGTTACAGTTTAGGTAAGGGTCTGGATTTCAAAGAGTTAACACATGCCAGATTACTTCCCTACGTAGAATGTTCAGAATTGCTTTGCAAAGTGATGTACGACTGAAGAGAATTGTTAATTCTTGTTTTTATATAAAGAACCTACAAGTGCTGCTATTGTTGTAAATGCATTACAGATCAACTATAAAAAATGTTACTATCATGAGGGTTTCTTGGCTCAGTTCAAGGGAGATACTAATCTGATTCCGTTTTTACAAGATGTATATGTTCCTGAATAATACATGTAAAAAAAGTATCTGCAGAAGATGATAAAATTGGTTCCATATCACAAAAAATAATTATTAAGAAGTATGAAAAATTAGTGTAAAGTTCATTATTTTATTTCACTAAAATACACATGTAATGAAAAATAAATTTTCATGAACCCTAGCCCCCTCCCCCAAAAAGTCTCTTTTACACAAAAGATTTTATTCAGTTTAACTTTCTAACAATATATATTTGTGCATAAGTGGAATGTGAGTGCTGTTGCTAGAAGTGATATGAACATCATTGTCTTTCTGCATGCATGAGTCTCTTGAGCAAAATCGAGCTTTCTCTGCTGTTATTGTTTTAGTGCTTTCACGAAAATATTGTGTTATCAATCATTGTATTTACATTTTGGTTAGTTCGAGGAAACATTAACTAAATCATTCTGTAAAGATAACAGTGGTCACCTGCAGCTTCTTATACAGTGAAGAGACAGTTTATTGATAGCTACACCTTTCATATGTACAGGGTGATTATAATTAAAGTTTAAGTTTCAAAACGCTATAGAAAAAGAACCACTCGTGAAAATGACGCCAAATTTGAAAGGAATGTTATTGAAGAAGGCGGAAAGCGTATGGCAGAAGAAAAAATTTAGTTTCAAAAGTTAGCAACAGATGGCGCTGCAAGCGGAAGAAGACAAATTAAAATGTTAGTTAAATTTCAGTGTTATAAAGCCGTCAGATACCAGGCTGTTCCTCATTTCGCGTCTCAGACGTTCACCATGGGTGTTTCACTGCAGGACCGCGCTCTGCTGGTAAAGCTGTATTACAAGAATGATGATTGTGCAAGAGTAGCTCTGCAAAAATTCAGGACACTGAAAGGGTATAAAGAAGAAGCGTTGGTCCAATGAGTGTCGTAGGTCTAAAGAAAATGAATGCAAAAATTCGAAAACGACAGGTTCGTTTGATGTGCAATCTGGTAGAGGGAGAAAACGAGTGCATTCGACGGTAGTTGAAGAAGTGGCCACAGCATTACAGGAGGGGTCGGCCGGTGGTGTGCAACCGTGCAGTGCACGAGGAATTGCCCGGAACATTGGACAGGCCTACGAGCACGGTGCTGAAAATTGTACGAAACATCCTGCAATGCTATCCGTACAAAATTGGCCATGTGCAGGAGTTGCTTCCGCCTGACCTGACAGCTAGGGAGACGTTTGCGTTAGAATTCCTGGCTCGCATGAAAGTGGATAATGAATGGCCGTGGAAAATTTTGTGGAGAGATGAAGCCCATTTCCATCTGACAGGATACGTGAATACCCAGAATTGTCGAATATGGGCAACAGAAAATCCACTGGCAACGCACCCCGTACCACTTCATCCTGAAAAGGTCACGGTATGGTGTGGCTTTACGGCATCATTCATCCTAAAACCACATTTTTTCGAGCAGAGTGCTTCCGGTCCAGTTACTGCAACCGTCACTGGTCAGAGGTATGCGTCTCTTTTGCGCAACCACATGATTCCAGCTCTGCAACAGCGTGGATGTGTGGATGAAATCATTTTTTTATGCAAGATAGCGCTCCTCCGCACATTGCACATCCCGTGAAGCAGCTGCTGAGGCGCCCATTTCGGAAATGCTCGAATTATCGGCCGTCATTTCCCTACAGCCTGGCCGTCCCGATCGCCTGATCTTACTCCGTGTGATTTCTGGCTGTGGGGATATCTGAAGGATGCTGTGTTCCGTGCTCCAATTGCAAATTTAGCGGAATTAAAGGCACGCATTTCGCAACACATTCTGAACATCACCCCGGGAGACACTGCGATCCGTTGTGGAACATGCTGTTTTGTCGCTTTCAACTTGTTGCACACAACACCATATTGAACATGTTTTGTGCCAGTCTCGCGACAGTTCCGAACTTCTTTGATGAATGGTTCTTATGCGGTATGTCGCCGCAAAACTCTTGAAACCGATTTGTCCTTTCGATGTGATATGTACAGTCAT